CAGATATAAATGAATACATGGAGTTATGCATAATTTTTTTCAGGGATACCTTGTTAAAGAAAGATTTTTCTTTCGGTGCTGTGATATCAGAATTTTGTAATCTTCAAACGAAAAATGAAGGTGCCTGCTTAATACTAAGTGCACCAGTTGCTGAAGAAAATGTATCAAAAGTAAGTTGTTTGACATTTATTTATGTTAGTTTAAAAAGGAAAGTATATGTTAATTTAGAAATAAGGATGTAAAGTGACTCATTTTATTAAATGAAATAAGGTAATGTTTTAATGTCAAAAATATTGTGAGGCTTGAAACATATCAGTAATATTGATTTTTTTTTAGTTCATGAAATGTAAGTCTCACATTCAAATTTAATGTTGGTCTTCCAATCCATGAATATTCATATTTATAATTTGTATAAAGATTTACGTTAGTTTAAAAAGGAAAGTATATGTTACTTTTGAAATACTTTCCTGTAATAGATTTTCAAAATACTCTAACAAAGATTCTAATAATTTACTTCATTTTACTAGCATGGGATAATAGAAGTATCAGACTCAGGAAGGGTGACCAAGTTTGTTGAGAAGCCACAACCAACGGAAACTATGTCAAGGCTCCAGTGTCCATGTTTTTACATTATTTCAAGAGAAAGTTTACAGCATCTTGAGGTAAAGAGGTTTCTTGTGATAGATTATTAGTGTTATTTGTATTTATTGTACATTGCTCTAAATGAATCTTTTATGATATTTCTCTCCTGAACCCTTTTTCTTCACTGTAAAAAACAAAATTTCTTTTGATTGGCACTATTAGTACCAGTTTAATTAAGAAATCACAATGTGATAATTCACTCCTTGTCTTTGATATTTTGTTATTAGAGAGTGAGTGTATATTAAACAACAGAGTAAGATTGATATTCAGTATTTTTTCCAGGATTTCTTAGAAGAAATGAAAGACAAGCCACTGAAGACACGTGATGCAACAGGAACTTTTGTATCCGAGCTTATAAATCGAACTCCTGTCTACGCCCATCATGTCAGCCATCGATATGATGTTGGTAATCTTCAGTCTTATATTCAGTGCCATGAAGACTTTCTATAAAAAGTATGACAAAGTAACTCAAAAGATGAATTTATGGGGATTTAACTAAAGTGCGATAATCAGTATAATAATAAGAATAAGACAAAATCAAATAACAAGTTGAAATAACTTTTTAGTAGGAAAAAGATTGAACAGTAAAGCTCAAAGTGATATCAGGGATATATATTTATTTTGATTCTTCCTTTTTCTGTAAACACTCTTGTTTACATCTGTTTTTTCTGTAAAAACTTTCATATTTTTTGTTGTTAAATTGACCCAAGAAACTCAAAAATATGTTTAAATTTTTCAATATGTCGAAGGGCCAGGGAAAACTGACTCAAGCTCTAGAGTTGGCTGCTGATTTTTTAACAGTTTTTAAATGGTTTTATTGTGCATTATTGTCTTTATTTCCTTTTTTTAATGAGCCATAACTAAGCAGCAATTGTTCAGCATTAATCTTAGTGTATTTTACTACAATTATTATAAAAATAAATAACTACTTTTAAACAGTTGACATATTTAAATATTTATTTATTTATAAGCTTCCAAACTACATTTTGTTATATGAGTGTAGAGTTTATTTTTTTGCAATTGAGTGTTGTTATTTTGGGGGGGTTGCTGAGGTTTTGTGATATTGGGATTTGAATGGAGAATAATGCCTGATATTCCAGGTAATGAAGTGGCTTTAGGTATGGTATACATAGTTTTAAATTTTGTGCTAAAGCAATCCTGGCCAGTTTTGTAAATTAAAGATACATTTCTCAATGTAGCTATATGATTTAACATTAAGTCAGTCTATACAAAAATTCAAAACTTGGTTATAATTGCCTTCACACCCAGTGTATAAGCTTTAGTGAAAGTCAGCAACAGAGCAATGTTATGCTAGGTTAGGTAGTTAGCAGTTGACTTGTACAGAGGAAGAAGCTGTTATTCATACAGTGTCATTAGGTGTGTCGAAGCTTTAAAATTTGCACTAATGCTATATATACTATAATTGTAGTCACTGGCTATGAAGAAATAAAGATATTTTTTTCTTACTATTTGTTTTTTCTTTCATATGTATATACATAACTTTTCTTAAGAAGGTGGAATGCCATTGATTATCTATTCTCTCTTGTTTGTATGCATAAGATAAAGACCTAACACAATGGCACTTTTTTATGTTTTAAAGTCCTAGATCTCTTGAAGATATGCATTATGTTATAATGTATATTTCCACTAACCATTAGTTATTTATATTGTGGAGGAGAATATATATGTTGGTTTTACTGTAAACTTCAGAATGTTATATTCTAACTTATGCAAAGAACAAGGAGAGTTGCGTTTTACTTGTTAGATTTTTTTCTAGTGTTTAAAAGACCTCTATCTTGTGAATGTTACATTGAAATTCTTGAAAATCTGGTAAAATTATGGTTTTAAGAGTTTTTAG